ATATATATATATATATATGTATAGACATATGTATCTATTGTACTATTATTGTATATAAGGTATACGTATATAGCTTACACGTGTAGTTATATTTTTTTAACATAAATACATTTTTAATAATCACAGACGCGACATATGTATGTCAGTAATTATTTCTTTTAAACTTTATATAATCCTTTTAGCATTTGAATTAACAACTTTATGGAAAAAGGAATGAAGAGAGGAAAATGCGGAAAGCAAGCAGGTTGATTTACATATCATTAAAATTTTAACGTTTTAATTTTAAATATATTATAGAATAATCTAGATAGTCCATTTTAATTTATTCCGTCTTAAAAGATATACGTTGAAGTCATATAGTTGTAAATCTTTTTTACAGCATTGAAGATTATAAACAAAATGATGCTGCTATCGAAAATTTTCGAGAAACAATAGATGTTCTACTCTTTGGATATAACAATCGTATGCAATATTGCTCGCAAATATTATCAAATCGTTTAACTTTATATGTATACCACTTGGAGATTTGATCGATGATAAACAGCTTTTTATTTATTCCTAAACTATAAAACTATGATCGAGCATATATGTGAGCTGCCTTTGAAAAGAGAAAACAAGTTTCCTTTTATGGTTATAAAACCATTGACTTTCAAAAATGTGTGGATTACCTGGTGTGGTATCAACGAATATACTCCAAAATGCGGTCTTTACATGGATAGCATGGCCACAATGACTACTGAAAAAATAAGGCATGCTGGATCTAAATATTGGTGGATAATACATCCATTCAGTTACGCTAGGCACGTTTTGAATGTGTAAAAAAATTAATTTAAAAATTTTTGTAATTCTTTGTAATACTTGAACTTTTTGATTTTTATTTTTACAACAAAAGCACATTGTTTTCTTTCTGAATAAGAGAATAATTTACAGATTAATGTGGGATACCTTGATGATGGTAATATACTTGATTGCTTTCTTTACAATTCCTTTTATGATTTGCTTCGTTATAATGGATTATGAAATAATTCGTCTGGATACAGTAAACATTCCAATTTACGTAATCTGCTGGTTAGATATAATGCTCAATTGTATTACGGGATATTACGATGAGAAAACCATGTCGGTCGAGTTGAAACCTATTAAAATATTTATGTATCTAGTCTTTTATTAATTATTTTGCTTATTTGATTTTTTTTTTTTTTTATTAATTTTTGTTTAATTTTAAAAATACATATTCTTCATAGCTTTTACTTAAAAGGATTTCTTGTGCCGGATGCGCTGTCATCTGTTCCGTTTGATCATGTGACACTACGATGGCGAAGATTGCCGGGAAATAATCCTCATTTTATTGTTACTCTAATTAATATTATGCCTCTCATAAAATTCACCCGCTATTATACTTTCAACTCGAACATTTATTATCTATTTACGGTATTTATGATCTATTTTTATGTATATTTTCTACAAAGACATACAATATACGGCATTATACCGGCAAATACTTTTTTCAGCATTTTGAAATAAAAAACTTTTATTTTGAATTGTGTACTAGCCTATTACTAGGATTGTACTTAATCTTTTGGTTTGCTTGCTTGTGTTATTTAATACCGATTTTACTGATGTACTTTGTCAACATTCCACCAACAGTAAGCATATGCTTGATCTTACTGACGTACTGATCTTTATGCGAATCTCATTTCCATACCTATTTTTATACCTATATTTTTAAGGATACAATTATTAAAATGTATTTTAATATGTGTAAAAGGAATGCAAGGATTGTTGGATGATGAGATTGGAAGACAGCAGTCTGAAATTCAGATTCAAGAACGCGGCATTTATCGTACTAGAAAATATATTATCAAGCGGTTACGGCCCATTCGTACCGGAGACGGATGGCCCCATCCTTTTCAATAGCATTCTTATGATTATCGGCAGATTCATCGTTTGTTATATGTTGAGTAAGATATTGAATAATAAACATCTTTATATCGAAAGTCATGCATTGTCAGGCATTTCTTTTGGATGTCAAACATGTGGTTGTGTCTTTCTGCAGTTATGTTCCTTCATATCAAAGCTGAAAGAAAATCATCCGAATCAAAATTTCAAGAATTAATAGATCAAGTGAAAGCATACACGAGACAAAAACAATTATTGCCACATATGAAGAAACGTCTCTTAGCTTATTATCATTACCGTTTCAAAAACACTTACTTTCGAAGTAAACGGATTTTGTCGGATTTAACTGGTTAATAAAATATTATAGAAAGAAAAGGAGGGGATGGGACATGTAATAGAGAATATAAAATGTTTAGCAGGATAATAACTGTTAAAATTAAATTTGGATTTTTCGCAGAATCATTACGTGAAGAGATTGCGCTTCAGTCTTGTCGACGATTGATTGAAAATGTAGCAATTTTTAAGAATTTGCCAAGAAATGTTCTGCAGTCAATAGTGAAACATTTAAAATTTGAGTTATATTTGCCAAATGACGTAATCATTAAAGCTGGTAGTCAGGGTGATTGCATGTTCTTTTTATCCTCCGGTACTGTTGCAGTTTTAACGCCAACTGGAAAGGAAGTTAGTTCTTTAAATATTTGGATATTGAATTCGTTTATAATGCAAAAAAGAAAAAAAAAAAAGAAATTTACTCTGTTATTTTGAGATGTGCCATTTAAATGATGGTGCCCATTTCGGCGAAGTCGCGCTCTTAGTGGCGGATCAACGAAGAGTAGCCAGTGTTATCGCGATCGAAGTCTGTGAGGTATATCGGCTAGATCGTAAAGATTTTCGTCAATGCATAGACGTACACAGCGAATTATTCGCGGAGATTGAACGTATCGCCACGGAACGCATAGAAAGAACCGTCAGAGCCGAGGAACAACACAAACGTTTTTTGATGCGTCCTAGTCGCGTGCCGAATTTACGTAATGGATTAACGAAAACTTAAGTTTATATATGTATGCATACATGTATATATTAAGTGCTGTTTAATTTTTGTATCCATTTTTTAATCTTTGAAGGTTCAAAGAATAAGTATTTCTGATCCGCGCAGTAAATCTCTATATATGTAATTATACTATATATTTTGTACATATATAGTATTATATGTAATATATCATTTTGTCAAAAAACTGTTATATATATAGTATCACTACCAGTTAGCAATTAGAAAAAGATTGGTCTTATTAACTGATTTTTTGTTACTGTAAAATAATAATCGTTTTGACATTGTAATTGCATATATTTAAGGATCTGCTTATATATTATTATTGTCTATACAATAATTATGGATTATGGCATTCTGTTGTATATTATTAATACCTACTTTTATTTTAAAACCATATACATATATATATATATATATATATATATATATATATACATGTTTGTTAATCATTACCTACAGTATACTTACAATTACAATTATTCGCTAAGACGTTATACTTTAATATACGCGCGGTAGCACACTGTTGTGACGAGCTTTATGATGTGTACTTGTATCGATATAACGCGAGATATGATCCTTGATAACTCCTTGATAAATTTCTTCAACAAGGAGATCAAGTTTTGTGTCAAAGTTTATAGTAATCGATCGTGTTATAAAATATCGCCAATACATATATATATATATATATATATATATATATATATATATATAGATATGTACGTATATATATTGCAAGAGCAAGATAGGAAATGAATGTGACATACCCTCTGTCGATATGACAAGGAAGACAATGGATTATTATCGATAGCCGACGTCGTTAGTGTCGTTACGCGCACGAGTTTCAATCCGTGAAAATGACGGTCCCAATTAATTAGATATCTGATGTAATCACAACTTTACTAGACGCACCTACAGACACTCTGGCAGTTACTATACATACAAGATATATCACACTTTCGTGATACATGATTGAATAATATGGAATTAACAGTAAATCAACCAGTATGTGAAAATAACTATTTACAATGGGACATATATTTGATTATACGCGGGGTAGCGATATAGACAATGTAGTACATATGTATGTACATACGTCTTGGATGTGTCTTATAATTTTTAACATATTTTTAACCTTTCCGCGCTTTTTCCATTTGTTCTCTCTTCTATAATTAATCCCGAACGTACGCGGAGAGCTGATCAACGTCGACTGCAGCCTATAATTAGTAATTACTATATCGCTCGATTTAAATGGAACATTATGCTATGTCGCATTTTTTGCTATAAAATTTTTTTTTGATCATACCTAAAGAAGAGCACAGTAGAAGAGGAGAAGAGTACTTAATATCTTAATTCATCGATACTATTCTTGTATACATACATCCACACTTGGATGAATTAATTCTCTGGATGACTCTATTAGGTCTAATCTAAATATAAATCTATGGTTTGTTTTACGACGGTGGCATCATGTGACAGCTATTTACACTTTAGTGAGACATCATGTATATTTAGCACTCTTTCCCCAATTCTTTCAAAAGTCATCTAATAAGGCACTGCGTTTTTACTGCGACTAAATCAGTGCAAGTACGAAATAATTAGTCAAATTGTTCTAAGTTTTTGATACGTCGATTCTGATTGCGGTAACGATCTCAACTTATGACTTGGACTTGATCTAATGCATATGTATAAATGCATTTTTCGTGCACATTTTCTCTTCCCATTTTTTTTTATAATCAATATTTCGGTGATATGATCTACCTGATATGATTATGAATGACGATGCGTCTAATGACAGTACGTAATTTATAATAGTTACAATTAAAACGTTTCAGGAACAAACGTTAAACGCAGCAATCTACTGCATCATGTATAAATGCAATATAGTTAATTGTTGAATAAAATGCAAGATTGACTGTACATGCGTGTTACGAAGAATGAAAGATGCAGTGCAACGCACAATTTAAGAATATTGCGAGTGAGGTACGAAATTATATCGACATTTACGCATATATATGTATATGTCGTTTACATAAATAAAATTACATGTTCCGCCATATTGCGCGCGCACATATCTAAACTTTGTTTAAATATAGTTTTACTTTCAAAGTTGTTATATAACGGATAATGTTAAGTCTCAAATGTTTACAGCATTTATAGTCAATCTCTAGCTCACTGGAAACATTTCGGTACACATATATATATAAATATATATATATATATATATATATATATATAAAATCTAGAATGCTTTCGAAGAGAGTAAAACTCTTAAATGTATATTAAATCAAAGCTACATGTTCATCTGAAAGTCTTTGGGGGAGGGGGAGATGAGCAGATAACAAAAAGTTGAATATAAAAATTTTCAATTAAATGCAAATTTTAAGGTTATGTTCCTTCATTATCTTCGTTTCATTATATGCATAGCGACGTGTTTACTACCGACATTTACTCATGAGCGACATTTTTTTCCTAAAGGGAATTGCATAATGCATATATATTTATATATATATGCA